AAATGCGGAGATACATGAAAATCTCTTATCCGACGGCAAAGGAAAAATAGGGACGCGTGGCACGATCCGGACGACTCTCAGATATTGGGAAAAGATTACCAAGTACAATTATCATTAAATGTTGAATGACTAATAACTAAAAATATCCTGCAAAAGGAAATGTAAAAAATCCCCAAGAGGGAAATGTAAAGTCTCTAAACTTTTTATAAAAGGGAGGGGAGGACATCATTTAATGCAATGAGTAAATGCTCTCATTAATTACACAATAAGTCACGGATAGACTGAGCATTCGGACCAGTAAAATAAAACTGAATCACAAACACAAATACTATTCGTGCAGACTGAACAGAGTACACATCTTAGTGCACAGTTCGAACACATTGTTGGTCATTTTTAGACATCAACAATTGGCGCTAGAAGGAGGGCTATTCCAGCATGTCAAAGACAACTTCATCATCATCAAGCCAGAGTCGCCGGAAAGACTCACCGGAAGAAAGGGAGGACCGGTGAAACAACCCAACCACGAGGATGGACTATTCAGCCTTTTTCAAAGACCCAAACTTTGTTAAGGGAATATCAAACCTGATAACACAGATCCGGCCCTCTACGTCTCAAGCACCCAAAACCCCAGCCAAAAAAGACCTTACCAACACCGTCAAAGGCAAGGAAACAAACGTTCGCGAAGAAACCACCCGATCGCCCGGGAGCACGAAGGAAAAATCCACCACCCGGACGGAGAATGAACAGACGGACAAAAGTCACTCGGTCACGGATACTCGAACCCGAAACACCACCCGGTCGGTTTTCAGACGGCTGGGAAAAAACATGGCCGACGACGACTTGAGGAGAACATTGACCAGAAGGCGAACGACTCAAGCCGAAGAAGACGAAATGAAGAGCCTCCAAAGAAGAATAGCCAAACTCGAAGCCCGGCGTTCGGCCCAAAAACGACTAGTTTCCACCGGACAGGATCGGACGGAAGTCCCTCTCAAACGAGCCACGACAGCCTCAAGGGCACGAACGGAATCCAGCCCAGCCGAACCCGAATCACCCCTAACATTTGATACTTTGCAGGAACAGCTGCCCGAGAAGATCAAGATCCCGCAGATCGGATTTTATGACGGAACATCTGACCCGTACACCCACCTAGGATTATACATGTCATGGATGGACCTGCACGGAGCACCGGACGCCCTCCGCTGCCGGATGTTCTCATTAACTCTGGGAGAAAAAGCACAAAGATGGTACCATTCGCTCGCCCCACATTCGGTCGCTAGGTGGTCACAATTAAAGTCCATGTTCCGAACCCACTTCATCGGATCCCAGGCGTGTCGAATTCCCAAAGAATCGATCACCCACATTATCCAGGGAGCAGACGAGAGTGAAGAATTACATCACTCGTTTCAATGAACGGGTACAAAACATGGAACCGTGCCATCAGGAGACCTTGCTCGTTTCGGCATATTCAGGACTGAGACCAAACTCGATGTTCAAATGGACCCTCTGCCAAAACAAACCTCAGACGTATCACGAATTTTTGATGAAAGCTCAACAACATGTCATGGCAGAAGAAAACATGTCCGTCCCGTCGTTCCCAGCCCTGAACGAGCAAATCGCCAAAGCAAAGGAGTCCCGACCGAACAAGGAGTTTGTGAAGGACGAAAGAAGCTCCCAATTCCGAGCCATGCAGAGGAAACATCACGAGGAACTCACGAACAGCTACCAGGGGGTGTATTCGGCCGGCGCGACCGTAGTGTATGAATAGTTGAAGAACAAGGGGATCATCCCAGACCCCAAACCGATCAGGGCCGATGAAGAAAATCTAGACAAAAGTCGATATTGTGCTTACCACAAAGCGCATGGCCACAATACCGACCACTGTCGGAACTTAATATCTGCCTTGTTGAAACTAATTGATGATTTGCAGGTAAGGAGGTTCAGTAGGATGGATGCAGGCAACCGGAGGCCAAGAAACGATGAACGAATGAACCCAGGAGACGAGCCCGATTTTAGACTGAATCCCCGGAGAGCGAACGAACACCATAATGAAATCTTGACGATCAGTCAGGAGCAACGAGGCGAGACGAGCGCATCCGGGGGAAGGAAAAGGACAGCATCCAGACGAGACGAGGAGCATTCGGTTCACATCCCAATCCAAAGAAGCGGACCGCCCACAAGGGTCAATACGAGCCGAGAAAGTTCGAGCGTGTCAAGAACACAGGTCAAGGCATACGTCCGAAAAGCATACAGCACAGGACACCAAGTCAGCCGAGCGGAGGTCAACCGACACATCCCCATGCCTACAAATCTAATAATGTTTTCGGATGAAGATTCTCTCCCGTTTGATAATCCACACTCAAATGCGCTCGTAATCACAGCCCCCATTTTCCGAATCCCAGTCCACCGAATCATGGTGGACACGGGAGCGTATTCAAGTATCTTATACTGGACCGCATTCCTTAAAATGGGGATAGACCAGAGCGAACTACGCCCATGCAACGACCGCATAACTGGATTCAACGGACAAGCAACCATTCCCGAAGGAGAAATCACACTACCAATCGAGCTCGGGGGATCAGGAGCAAACGGATGCAGGATCATGGAAACTTTCAAAGTGGTGAAAACGGCCAGCGAGTACAACGCCATCCTCGGGCGAACGGCCTTATACAAGCTGAAGGCGGCCGTATCAATCTTCCACTATTCGATCAAATTCCCAACTAAGAATGGCACGGGAGTCCACTACGGCAACCAAAGGGAAGCAAGAGAGTGCATCATGGCGATCCCGTCATTAGAAATACACTCGGTCATGATGGCGAACGAGGAGGAGAAACTGATCGTCGAACTAGTTGTAGAACCCGAGCAGTCACACGAGCACGAAGTTTCGTCCGAACGGCCAGACAACAGTGCGGCCAAAGGATACATGAACGAACGAAAGAGGATGAGGGAAGAACCGATCGAGGGCCCAGAAGAAGAAGACAAGTACCCTATGCTGACGTCATCAAGCGCAAACACACTTTCACCCCCGAGAGATGGACAGGGCGAAAAGGCTGTGAAAGAATCGGAGGTCAATCAATCCAACCCAAAAGGAGAACAAAACCAGAAATCCACCCAAGAAGAGAACAATCCGTGCGAAGAGGAGGATCGAACGGTAGACCGGGGACGCCGACCAGGGAAGGAACCAATAGAAGAAAAAGACGAACTGGACCCCCTAGATCAATTCAAAGGAAAGAAACCCGAACGGGCCGAACCAAGCAAAGACACGAAGACGATCTATCTTGATGAACCAGCCTGCACCAAGTCATTACGCATCGGACGCAACATGGGCGAACCCATCCGGTCCAGGTTAATTACTTTTTTAATCGAAAACGCAGATGTCTTCGCCTGGACGCATGAAGATATGGTGGGGATCGATCCAGACTTAGCATGCCATAGCCTTCGGGTTGACCGAACGGTAAAGCCAATCGTGCAGAAAAGGAGGAAGTTGGGACCAGAACGACAAAGAGCGCTCGAGGGGGAAGTAATAAAGCTGATTGACAACAGGTTCGTTCGCGAAGCCAAGTACCCGGTTTGGGTATCCAATCCGGTCCTGGTAAAGAAGAACAGTGGGACGTGGCTGTTATCATCCGACTCGGTAAATCGTAATTAAAGGCCCAAAACGACACCATAAGCGAATTTGATTCAGACATTACCATAGCGTAAAGTCATCCCGGTTCGCGCAATAGACCGATACGACTCAAGAAGACCGAAATGATTCATCCTCCGCCGAAGTCATCCCAAACCGAGGTCAACATAAACCGAGGTCGTCACCTCCTAAAGCAGGTGACGAGGCGCCTACACACCCCTATCACGATCTACGAGATTTGTCATCATTCATTTGGGACCCACTGCTCCAACCGCCTACCAAAAGTTACTTTATGCTGAAAATAATACACGGATCCTAATATGTGTATCAAAAAAGGTTACTATAAATAGTTAGCCACTGATTTTTGTAAAGGATTCCGATTCGGAACCCAACAATTTGACAATGAAACACGAAACAGCCCATAAAGGCTTTTCACCTCGGTCCACCTCGGTCCGGGGCCACTGTTGAGTTTTTCCTGCATGATTTACGTTCAAACCACTTGAAATCATCTCATCACCTCCTCCTTAAATCGTTGTTAAGAATCATACGACAACAGTTTGTGGCTAGAGGAAGGGCCTCATAAGTGATTTGAGGTTACTCTCCGTTTTCTCGTGTAACGATTCACATCAGCCATATCCATCATGTCTCATTCAGATCATCGCGGTCATACTTCACGAGATGGCCACAGTCGCAGTGCTACGCAATCCGCCAGACGACAAGTCGTAGCTCCCCCTGTGCCGGATTATACTGTTCTGTTTCAAAATCTGGAGTTTGCACGTGGTTTCACCGCTCTGATGGCTCAAACGATCCCCAGAACATCGACGACTGCCCCGGGACACTCTATAATACCAACGACTCCTGCAAATTTGCAGAATCCACCGGTGCAGCGAGACGGCAGAAGAACTACGTCTCACGCAACCTCTCAACCTCGCGATAGAGCATCGCAACAACTTCCAGAACAAACTACGCGTCACGCCGATGTTGGGCGTAATCCCTTCGTAATACCACGTGAAGAAACCGCCGAAAGTCAGTCGGGACATTCACGACGGTCGCCACCTCAGGTACGACGTCAAATTCCTCCTGATCCAGTGCAGACTGATCTTCGTCAACATATTGAGAGAAACCGAGCTCGTCAAGAAACTTCCGAACTTGAAACATTGCGACGAAGAATTGCCGAATTAGAAAGTCGGCAACGGGCACCCGAAGACCCCCCTCGGCGGGCCTCAACCTCGGCGCAAGTATATTTGGAAGCCGACTCCCCTCTCACTCCGAAGCTCACTTCGGAACCTGTGCCTGGGAAAGTCAAAGTCCCCCAGATCGGGCTATAAGATGGAACTTCAGACCCTGTCTCGCACCTCGGTCATTATACTTCGTGGATGGATCTGCATGGGGCCTCAGACGCACTTCGGTGTCGTATGTTTTCTCTCACGCTGGGGCCTCGGGCCCAAAAATGGTACCATTCTCTTCCTCCCCATTCAATTTGGAAGTGGCAACAACTGAGGTCGGCTTTCCGATCTCATTTCATCGGGGCTCAAGTCTGTTTAATTCCAAAAGAATCTCTTGCAAACGTAACTCAAAAAGATGATGAAAGTGTCAAGGATTATATCGCCCGATTTAATGACCGAGTTCAAAACATGGAACCTTGTCACCCCGAAACCTTGCTTGTCATGGCTATAGCCGGACTGAAACCGAATTCGATTTTCCGCTGGACACTGTGCCAAAATAAACCAAACACTTTTCAAGAATTTCTTGCCCGAGCTCAGCAACACATCATAGCTGAAGAAGCCATGTCGGTCCCCGATTTTAACTTTAACCCGAAGTCTTCTAAGGCGGGGACCGACGAGAAAAAAGAAGAATAAATTTTTCGAAAAGCAAAGCAAGGCTCAGTTCAGGGGACCTCCCCGAGGAGACCCCAATGACCCTGAAGTTCGAGCAGCCCGAAAACAGTATGCTACCGATGTGAAGTCCGGTTATCAAACTGTATACTCCGCAGGGGCAGCTACCATATATGAAGAGATCAAAGGAAAAGGCATTCTACCGGACCCCAAACCACTTCGGATGCCTGAAAAAAATTAGATAAGTCCCGGTATTGTGACTATCATAAATCACCGGGGCACAATACTGATGAATGTTTATGTTTGTTGGCTGCCTTGTTACGTTTAATCGGTCATCCGCAGCTCAGAAAGTTCTATCGCAACACCGACCCCCAGAGACGAGGTCCAGGGCATCAGATTGAATCTTATGATGAAGATGACGAGGAGGACCGAGGCGCCATGCCAAAACGCATCCGACAAGGAGACAAGGAAGTATTTATGTTCACCTCAGGAACGCCCAATTCAGATTTTGCTGGAACTGCCCGAGGACGTAAACGAGATCGATCTCCTGAACCGATGCAAATCACCGTCCACCGTGTCAACACCAATAACTCCCGGAGTACATTGTCCCGTCGACAAATCAAAGCCTATGCCCGACAAACGTATAACTCCGGCAAACAAGTGTACACTACTGATTTGAGAGACATCCTCAACAAACGAAACTGTCCCATAACCTTTAATATGGAGGATGCTAATCACTTCGCACACCCTCATTCCGATGCACTTGTTATCACTGTCCATATATGCAGAATTCCCGTTCATCGCGTTATGGTAGATACTGGGGCCTATTCGAGCATTTTAATGTTAAAAGCTTTTGACAAAATGGGTCTTGATCCCACCGACATCCGACCCTGTAATGATCAAATACAAGAATTCAACGGAAGTATTTCGAAGCCTATCGGTGAGATTACTTTACCCGTTAGATTTGGCACTTCGGAGAACGTCACTAAGCTCGTCATGGAGACTTTCAAAATTCTTGATATCAACAATGAGTACAACGCCATCATTGGCAGAACAGCGTTGTACAAACTTCGAGCTGCGGTTTCGATCTTTCATTACGCATTAAAGTTCCCGACTACACGAGGAGAAGGGACACACTTCGGAGACCAGAGAGATGCTCGAGAACTTATTACATTAATACCACCCAGCGGAATCCATTCCACCTCGACGGGTAATAATGAAAATTCTCCCCTACAAAACGTCTCGGACAACACGGTATCCGGAGAACCAAGCCACAACGTCGGCACTTTTCTCACTCCGGATCCCTTGACCGAAGACCGAGGTCGCCGACCCGGAATGGAGCCTATCCTTGAAGAAGATGAGTTGGACCCAAGAGCCCAATTTAAAGAAAAAAGCCGAAATGATCGAGCCGAACCTGGAGAAGAAGTAGAGTTAATATACATCGATGAACCAATCTTCCACAAGTCATTGTGCATCGGGAGTCATCTCCAAGAGCCCCTTCGGTCGGAACTTATTTCGTTCCACAAACATAATTCTGATGTTTTTTCCTGAAAACACGAAGATATGAAGGGTATTGACCCCGGTGTTGCTAGTCACAAGTTAAACCTCGATAGAACCGTCCGGCCTGTTGTACAGAAACGAAGAAAACTGGGGCCAGATCGTCAGAAAGCATTGGAAGAAGAAGTTAAGAAACTCATCGATAACAAATTTATCAAAGATGCCAAGTATCCGACATGGGTCTCAAACCCCGTTCTTGTCAAAAAGAGCAATGGTCTGTGGAGACTGTGTATTGATTTTTCCGACTTGAACAAGGCGTGTCCGAAGGACAGTTACCCACTTCCACACATAGACTACATGGTCGACGCCACGTCGGGACACGAGTTAATGAGTTTTATGGATGCGTACTCCGGTTATAATCAGATTCCTATGGATCCCGAAGATTCCGAACACACATCGTTTTATTCAACACGAGGCCTGTACTGCTATACCATGATGCCGTTTGGGTTGAAGAACGCCGGAGCC